GGTCAAGCACGTGGTAGCTGCGCAGTGACGTCAAATGGGCATTAGCCAATGAAACGCGGACCCTGTGGTAAGGTCCATTGTCTTGTTATAAGTAAATTTATCTGCCAATAGAATTCTTACATTTTCATCAGTATTAATGAATTATTTACTTAAAACAAGTTCCCATATCTTGCTGAAAAGATACATGTAATTTACTTTTGTCTTATTTCAAGTGTAATTTGAAAAATGCACTGGAAATAAGATCAAAAATACCTGGTAACATTTGGTGTTTTTGCAGCCTAAAATAGTCAGAGTTGTTTTTATGTCCTTGTCTGCTTAAGGCACTGATCATGGCAATTAACCAATGCTTATATCATAACAGCAATGGGAAAGAATTAGGAAATTTCTAACATGTGAGCGTAAAGGCAATCAAAATACATGTGAACAAAGTTGAAAAATTCAAACATAAAAAACCCTTAAAAACTGAAAAAACCCCAGGAAAAAACTAAACAGTTTTCATATTTCCTCATCAGTCAGCACGTATAATAGCAAAATATTGCAAACTGGCTTATGACATCAGCTGTACATGATAAAAACCTTCTTGTTTTTCTTAAAGAGGCTAGTCTGATGAAAGCTAAGGCACAAGGTTTGTTCTAATTCTCCTGTTACTTAAATCATTATGAGTCATGATGTGTATTCAACTAGTCACATGCTGCTTGTTTAAATTAATGACATTTGTGTAAGATATGCTCCACTGTTGATCAGAAGTTGTATACATCAAATTTTTAGATTTTAATAAGTCATTTCTTGTAATTCATGAAACCTTTTAGCTAAGAACTTTGTAATTTAAGTGTGTATTGTGTGTTTTACAATAAATAAACAGAACAATCTTGTTTGAGCATTGAAGTCAATACATTTTGTAATTTCGTACAGCGTAGTTTTCCACTTTTCACAGGGATTCTGGTCTTTTTAAGTCACAGGTCCCAGAGACCTTTATCACAATGTAAAGTTTCCCTTCTTTAAGAATGATCCAGCTGATCTGGTTTGCTGTGTACACAGACCACTCCTATACAGCTCCTATTTCAACACATCAACGTTTTTTTCTTTTGTCCAACTCTGTCATCAGCAAAAACCAACAATGGAACAGCCTACATATTAATCAGTGTGGGCTACGGGGCATGACTCTCATTCAGCAGTAAAGGTTTCTAACAGTTTCTAGACTTTCATTTTATAATTAGTTTTTTTATTGAAATATCATAGGTTATGTATAAATATATATATATATATATATATATATATATATATATATATATATATATATATTTTTTTTTATTGAAGTCATTATATTATGCTAAAATACCATAAGTTATAAACCAGGTTTTACCAACAGAGATTCTTGGTTAATTATTCAGTAGCGTTAAACTGAATAATTTTACCTAATTGTAGCTACAAATTACCATTGTAGCTACAATTAATCGTCCTTTAAATCATGTGAAAGGATTTGTAATTTAAAGCTGCAGTAGCGAGTTCTGAGAAAACAGTGGACTCAGCCTTACCCATGAACAAGCTCACCCTAGAGGCATTTGAAACCTCCGTCTCTGCAGCTGAAAACAGAATTATCAAGTCAACATCAGGCTTCTGAGAAAACAAATCTCTTCTCTTGAATTCGAGGCTCGAGTAACCTCTTCAAATTAAGATTTCAAACTCACCTACACAAAGGGCCGAGCTCCAGGAGGTTGCCCCATGGACCCCTAATCCAGGGGAGGTTCTCTGCTTCCTGTGGTCTGCCATTTCATTGGGATGACTAAACACATTTTAAGTGACTCCACCCTGGTGGACATTTTGCCGAGGGAGATCTTACGAAGAGCCAAATCTCAGTATCACATTTGGAAGGTAACTAGATAACAACTTAGCCCCGATTTCATCCATTGTTGTTGGTTGTTGTTTTTTCCCGCTTGTGCATAACAGAATGCAGAATAGTCATGTTTATCGAGTAAAGGTTGGACAAATACCTCCTGGCTGCAAGACTCGGATCACATTTCAAACGATTAGATTCATATCGGATTAAGGAAAACATATCAAAGCAAAAATAGGGTCTGTGTTGTTAGGACTGTCATGAAAAGATCCGATACAGGTTGCATATAGGCAAAAAACTTTAGTCTGCATTGTGAATGTAGCCAAGTTTAATACTGTGTCAACATATTTTCTGTCCTGCCAGACTGACTGTTGAGTTGCATCAGAGTAAATGTGTTGACATGTGGCTGAATGATGGCTGCATAATACAACAGGACACCAATCTGCTTTAACAGTTTTAAATCAAGAATAGTTCACAGCTGAAAAGATCCAAAACAAAAGAGAAAATTCACTTACAACACACTGAAACAGTACAATATATTCTTCATAATTACAAATATTACATTACTATTTATATATGGCATTTTTGTACATCTTTTTCTATCATTTCCACTTGCAGTAAACTCTCCGTTATCTTGACTGGCTCTTGAAAAAGAAGTTTGGACAAAAGAAAGTCAGCTAGACTTTTATGTTGAAAGTGACTGAAATGTAACGGTTGAGCTGAACAGAAAAGTCCAGTAATCTTCAAGTATTCATCTTTATTTTACATACCTTTTATTCTTTTGTAAAGTATACAATGCAAAAACCCATCTGTAAAATGACCTAATTAGACATTAGACAAGATGTAGAAAAACATTTTAATGTCGTCATGTCACTTTGCTTGTATGCTAAAAGCAAGATACCATAAGACAAAAATAGTAATCCACTGGCTTTCTGTAATGATAACCGGCCCATTGTATATTTTAACATACACCTCCAAAGAAATTACTTGTGTCGGATAATAGGCATCGAAAAAAAAAAAAAAAAAAAGGTAAAAAAACGAAATTTTTTTATTTTTTTGTATGACAGCCAAGGCTTACATAACATTTTGCGTCTTTTTGTGAAGCTATGGTAAGAAACATGTCAAATGCCTTTACATAAATGACTGATATCTTAAAATATTTCCTTTGTTTGCTGTCCCTGTATTAATGTAAGCACCCTGCAACAGTTACACCTGGAGGGTTTCTGTCTGGTTGAACACGTCAGACCAACCTGCCCTGTAAAGCTGCATTGACTTTTCTACTATTTATCTTCAGGATAATTAGAATTTACCTAATTTTCAACACACAGTTGTGGCATTTTTGAAACTCTGAATATGACAACATAATTTACTAATTTGATCTAATCTGTAAACTGTAATATAATTAAAACTTAATGTCAACAAGCACAAGTAAAAAAAAAAAAACAAAAAAAAAAAAACTTTGTTGCATACATTTATTGTAAGTTGTATTTGATTTAGCATCTTTTTACTTGTTGTCCAGCCCATCTGAGACATATTTACACTGAGAGAGCAGATGGATATTTAGAGAATATTTTACACTGTATTTTACATTCACACCTGCATTGTGTTCAAACAGATGTCAGAATGTTTTAATCCTCTCAAGTAATCTTGTTTGATTTACCAAATAGGTGAACAATTGTTTTGTCAAATAAGTTCTTTTATCAGGCGTAACTTCAAGAGCCAGGAAATTGTACAGCAAATGTAACACGGTGGCATAAAGAGCCAGTTACAGTGAAACACTTCAACTTCTTAATCCTCAGTCAAACCCGTAAACTAAACACACTAGGTGGCAAAATATGTTTACTGAGAAAGTTTCAAATGAATTGATATAAAAGAGGCACTACTAGTGAAGATCCAAAGACAAACAGAGCTTAGAATTTGTTCCTTTGCTGGCACCTCAAGCAACAGATTGGGTCACGTTTAACAAAGAGCACAGTGTGTTTGAAATTCAGGAAAAGCAAAAAGTGAAGCATTAACTTAAGCTTTATGGAACATAAGTTACAGCTGCTTAGCTTTGCCCTGCATTGTTAGCCAACGGTTTTCTTTACCCTACACAGTAATTGCACAGTGTTATTGTTTTTTTTATTTTATTGATTTAAATCATTGGAACATTTTTTTTAAGTACAACTCAGCTACATCTACAAAAGATGGTGATTACACTGCAGACTACAAAGTGTGACGACAGAATCTGTAAGACCATTTTCTTTGTTTTGGATGCAGGTCAGCTGGTCTATTTCGTCTTCTCTCCACTCAAAAGTTGTATACAGACATAGAGCCTGGAACCTGTACACCTTTAGCATCCCAGCCCATTTAATCAGGTTAACAGCAACCAGAATGATTCAAGAAAAACAAACAGGCATCTACTTGCCTGCTCATTTCACTCCGAAACATAATGTCAGGCATTTTCCCACAGAGTAACTTACATCTGACCCGATCAGTGCGTTTGATCAAATGTGAACCAAGTTCTGTCAAACATCAATAAGACCCAGAATTCAGACGGAATCTTTTAGCCAGCTTTCTAAACCTTATTTTATGGTGGCTTGTGGATATAATCTTATACAACGTTTCCTAAAAAAATAAAATAAAATATCTGCACAGTTATTTTTTTAGTTAATGTACACTCTGAATGGTGTTCATTATCTTACTGATGTAGCTGTCCAGCTCCCTCATTTTTTAAAGAAAGAAACTTGATTAAGTTATTTTCGGAAGTAAGAATATTTTTGCCTTAGGTGCATTTGAAATGTGAAGAAATCTAGTGCTCTCATGACGGAGCTGCTGCTACAGGCTAAGTATTGTTCCCACTGCTGCAGATGTACATCAGTTGTGCTTTGCATTTATGGACTTCACCTTCTGACTCTCACCTTTGCATAATTTCTTTCTCCTTTGGCTCATTCCCATCCCCTGCTCCTACACAAATGTTGTATACAGACACCTGGTCTGTGTATACAGACACTTGATAATGTGTCTGTATACACAGACCAGGTGTCTGTATACACAGACACCTGGTCTGTGTATACAAGGTGTATACACAGACACCTGGTCTGTGTATACAAGGTGTATATAGACCCCTTAATTTTGTCAAACTAAGGGGTGACAAAATTAACCCCTTAATTGTCACCCTGAAAATGCTTGCATGTTATCCAATTTCTCCATGAGGACACCAGTGTCCTTAAGACAGCTGAGGGGCTTTAAATAGTCATTGTGTGTTTGTTACAGATGTTAGAGTCATTGTTCTTCTTATTCCCTTTTAAATATTTGTCCTTCATGCACATTTATGTTATGATACAGCGTACTGTACAAGGCTGTGGTCAAAGGCGGGGTTACTCCAGGTAAATGTCTTCTGTTGGACACGAGAACTCCACAAACTCTTTGTAGTACAACTGGAATGCTTTCCTGAAGAAGAGAAAAGAAGAGCCATCATTTCTTACCTTTCCTTGAATTTGCACACTCAAATTTTTGAATCGGAACAAACAATTTGAATTATAACTAATTCTAATCTTCAAGTATATGATGGACTGCTGAAATTAAGTATTGTTTAGTACGGTTTGGTTTTTATTCATGTTATTAGTTTTTGGCATTTTCTGTTATTTTCTTCTATGTAAAGTTTTATAATTGTCTTATCATTTTTACCAAACTTAATTTTATTTTCTGTTCTACCTGTGATGTTGTGAAGCACGTTGGTCTGCTAAAGTTGTTGTAAATGTGCTATATAAATAAACTCTGACAACTTCACTCTTATCCACATGCAATTTAAAACAAGAGAGAGTCACAGAAATGTGTGAATTGTCATGTCAACAAATCAGCTTATGCAGCTTCATCTGCCTTTTTGTTTTTTATATCTGTTGACACGTGAAACAAGACACTGAAATGCCTTTAATTTGAAACCATCCATCAAGAGACTCACAATATCAACAACTACAGCAAAACAATACAAAAAGCAATACAGTGCTTTGCAAAAGTACTTATAACCCTTAAACTTTTTAAATATTTTGCCACATTAAAACCATAAACACTAATGTAGTTTATTCACCAACACTGATAGATAAACCATTTCTTCCTTACAGAAGTGGTATTGTGTCATATACCAATAAGTGGTTAAATAAAAAAAAAAAAAGATAATTACAGCATGGCTATGAATTCAGAGGAAATGGGTCACATTTAATCAGAAAATGGAGAATGTGACATGTATATTCATTAAGCCTCCCTGAGTCAATATTTTACCAAAGCACCGTTTTCTGCAGCTGAAGGGGTAAATTCAATGTGTGCAAGCAGGCCCTGGCTCCCAAGTATATGCATATTTATATACATATTTATTCTTCACATATTGTATGCAGTAAGATTACAGCATGCCTCCATCTCCTGGAGTTCGGCCACTCTTGAAGGTTATTTTGCCTTGCAGAGGTGTTACAAGATGGCAGAACTTAATGAGTATGCTGATATTAAGCTGAAGTAAAAAGTGATTTTATTAATAGGAAACAGAAACTGAGCTCATGTGATGAGATTTGAAATCTTAGCAAGTATACAGGTTCATGTTAGGGCAGAAACTGTCAACTGTGGTGATTTTTTCATGTTAGGTTTTGTTATTAAAAAAATACAACCCATACACTAAGGTCTATTTTCTTTTTCTTTTTCAGCTCTATAAAAGTCCAGTTTGTCTTATCTGATCACACACCTTAAACCAAAGTGTTCTTTATCACATTTTGTGATGCACTGCTTCTAGTAGATAAAGGGGTCAAATTCATTAAGCTTAGACTATGTAGTACCTCAGGAAACATAATAAAAACCTTTACTTTAAAAGTGTTAAAAGGATTTGGGCACTTTTTGAATTCACAAAATGATGTTAAAGTCTTTTGTGAGTGTGTGTTGCCTGTGAACATCAGGTTTGAAATCTCTTCAACTATCCTCAATTGGTCTTTAACGGGGCCATTCTAACTCATAAATATGGTTTTATCTAAATCAGGTACATCAAATTCTAGTTCTGAAGAGTCGGTGCCCTTCAGGTTTTATTACATTTGTACTCCAACTAAGCTGATGCAAATAAAAGTACTACCTCATGTTAGCTCGTTCTTCAGAGGCATGTTATTACACCGTGTATTTCGCTACCTTGTGTTGGAAATATCTAAAGCAAGCAATGTCGAGTCCATGACTTGGTTCTGTTGTTAATCACGAGCCTCTTGGCTTCTTACAGATGTTTCTTTTTGCCTGGCCTGTGAGTTTAGGTAACTTCTTGGTAAAATCATAGTGGTACTGTACTTTTTCATTTTCAGATTATGGCTTGAGTAAAGGTCTGTGAAAGCTTTTATCGTTTTATTATTTAACTCTCACAACTTTATCCATGTACATGTAGACTTTATGCAGAAAGACACAAAGCCAGGATTCGAACCTGGGGCCAACTTGCACCATCATGCAGCCCCTCTATGTCCTAAAGACATTCATTTTAAAGTTTGGGTATCAGAGTAAATGTGCCTAAAGATGCCACTTTTCAGATTTTACTCTATTAAAATGAATTGAAAACCATGTATAATGCTTATTCCACTTCAGGTATTTACTACATTGTTTTGAAATAAGACAAACTGTGATATGGATGCGCGTTTGCAGGTACTGTGCATCAAAGAGTAAGTGTTTTTTTTTTTAAATAATTAATCTAAAGTTATTGGATGTACAGCAACTTACCCAATTGACTCAGCAAGAGGTTTGGTGGAGTTTTCAGACACAAATACATGGCAGGCAAATCTCTGATCTGCTGGGTGCTTAGTGATGAAACCAAAATACCTGTAGGGTGAAAAAAACAACATCAAACAGGATATAAGAATCCCAATCCCACTCACCTTAATAACTTCAGATTTTTGATTTGTTTTCATACAGCGACACCTAGTGGCAATTTAAAGCCTCCACATATGGACAGTAAGAAAAGAGGAAAAAAAGACTTACTTGCTGTTTTTAGGATGGTAGCCACAAAAAGAAACATTCTTTAACTGGAAGAAGTGACTGCACTCGTTACTCTGATGACAAGACACAGGTAGAAGAGAGAGAATGACATTTCTGATTAAAATGAAAAACACCCCCAGCTCCCCCTCCCCTGGACAATAAAAAGTCAAACATCACATCACATGTATTTGTTTCTAACTGTGCTTGGAATGGATTTGAGTTCAGGATGTCTGGTTGGGCAATTGAAACAATTATGTTTTTCAATCAACTATAAATTTATTTTACAATGATAACAGAATCATGCTTTCTTGCATTTGATACTTTTAAATAAAGGGAATATCTAATTCATATGCAGCATATAACCACATAACATGACAAAGTTTGGTTCTGGACATTGTGCATGCCTTGACAAAATGCTGACCTCTACAGAGTTTTTGATGGTTCCAAAAGTCCTTGAAAGAAGTTGCTTTTTGTGGGGAAAATCAGCCAAATCTGATATGCTAGATTGCATGTTTATGTTTTACATGTAAAGGAAAAGGTACCAGAAAGAGTCTTACTCTGTCACAAGCATAATAGTCCTCTTGAACAGCAAGCTTAATTCCTTTGACGTTGATCTCCAGGACACAGAAGGAAGGTGGGTTGAACTTGACTGTCATTCGTCTGTTGTTGGCAATCTGAGGGACATGATTATGATTTACTTAATTGAAAATTCATCAAAAATAAATTTGTAGGTTAATAAACCTGATAAACAAAAGTAAAATAACCTTTTTTGGTACTAGTGTATTTGTTCCCTCACAGGTAAACAGTCATGGAGAGCAAGCGGCTTCCTACCTTCTGCATGGCTGCACACAGAACATCATTTCCTTTGTGATACGGCACTTGGACTGAGCCAAGGAACTTCAAGCGGTATCTGTCCATCCACTCACTGCTCTTAACTGCAAAGAGAGGAGAGCAAAAATGTATGAACAGAAATTAAAGGGAGGAGGAAAATAAAAGCAATTGAAAACTTTAGGCTTTGCTTGCTGCTCTTTCAAAATGACTGTTTCAGAATCTGTGAGATGACAGCAAAAGTAAGAATAAAGCAAATATTTTATCACATCCAGTAAGCTGTTTCAAAGTTGCTCACAAGGTAAGGAAATGTAATAAATAAATATATTAAAGAAATATGGAGATAGATCAGAGAAAAAATGAATAAGTAAGTAATCTGAAAAATAATTAGCTGTAACTCTATTATGGCAGGTTGTTTGATAATGTTCTTAGCTAATTGTTGTTGACATTAAAGTTGAAATTAAATTTGACTCCCACTGTAGTAATTTTGTGCAGTTTGTTAGTCACTTTTCCACTAAAGTCAAGACAATTTTAACATCTGGACATAACAGTTGTGTCAGTACCTTTGTAGTAGTCAGTGTCCCTGTTCACCTCTATGGCGTAGTAGGCGGGGAAGATTCCATGCGCACCAGTTCGCATGTTGTAACCCTCGTACCAGTAATCCTCTCCCTGGACCTCCACCAGCAACGGGTCATCCACCTCCAACTCCAGCTCATCATCATGTCGAGGCACAAACCTGTTGAGATTTGTTAAAATTCCACATTTAAATTGGTAACGGAAGAGCAACGACAGGGCAGCGAGATGGGAGGTGCCAGGCCTCTAGGCTGCCTGGACAGATACAGAAACCTAACAAAACATGAGGTAGGAATTAGGAATACATTTTTTTGAAGGATTGAAATAAAACAAATACAGCTAAAGACAACTCTCCATTTATTTTTCACAAGCTAGCTTTACAACTGCAGCACAGCTTGATGCTACAGGAAGACAGCAAAGTAAGCTCCTTTCTGATAATGCTTCAAAAATATTTCTGTATTCTTTTAAGATGATTTTTACCCAGTTTTTCAAACTGGGTAATAAAGATGCCGCTAGTAATATGGGAAGAAAGGAATATATTAATATAGTTTCTTTAATGTTTTTCATCTTTAATGCTAATGACCACATATTTTTTGCAAGGTAGTACTGCAATGTTTCACTGAAGAGAGCAATATTACAAGACACATTTTACATGTACTTTTCCTATATATGTAACATTTATGTTCGCATGAGTCTAAAAACAAATGCATATGAACTGACATTGAAACTTTGATAAACTTACAATAACCTAATTTCAACAAATCAACAGGTTATTAAATTACATTTCATCAATTACACTTGCAGTTTAAGTTTTTAATCAGGTATGTTTAATAAATTTACTCTTTGCATTTTTTCTCATACATTCTAAAGCTGGACATTGAAAAGGCATGTAAATTTAAATCACATCGTAAATTGGCTTCATACATGTACATATCAAAGGAAAAGCTATTTTGAAGCACATCTGCTCCCAACAGTTATTGACTGCAGAGTGGGCTATGTAAGGACAATGCCCCCCTGCATCGTATGATGTCTTGCTACATAAAGACGCTCTTGTTCTGTTGGCTGCGTTGCTGCTGTTTTGGTCCCTGCTTCCCAGTGCCTGGAACAGCCTGAGGTTTTCAGTAGCAGCTGGAAGCACTCAGTGCTAACTGGAGGGAAATTGAAGCTTTTTCTTCTCCGTACTTTATGTAGAGAAAAGGACAACATAAATGCCATACTGAGATAAAAATGCAGACTCAAGCCTTATTTGAATTTGCCACGACTGATGATTTATGACAGTGTTTTTCAACCACTGTTCCGCGGCACACTAGTGTGC